TTTATCAAACAAATTGCATAACATACACAATGATATCAAGTTTACAGCCGGTACAGTAGATTGTTTTGAAATCGGTGCCGTCCCGTAAGTGTTAATAAGTTAAAAATGTGTCAACAAAACTTAATATATTAAAGATTTTTTTTAATACAAAACAAAATATAGACGAGAAAAAAATGGTTCATTGTTGAAATTACAATCACGATTCCGAACATTACAAACGATTTTCACAATTGATAATGCTCGGCGTCGAAAAGTTTTTAATGCCTTCTTTTCGAGTGTAAGTGGAACAATTCTCGTTCTGTTGATTTAGAACTCCTCGAAGTCTTGAAAGTGTTCTATAATTAATGCCTCCCGAACCTTTAGTTTTCTTTATACAATCCACCTACTCACAACTAACGTTGAAGTTTGCAATTTATTCCGTACCGTGATTTTCAATCGGCATTCAATTGTGAACTTTTAAAAATATCTTATTCCGTAATTGAACTCTGTTGATTTACACGGAACGAAGAGAAGAAATATTTACGGTCTTCATAACATTCGCTTGCAATTTTGATTTGCAATTCATGTAAATATATAGATTTCAATACCTAATAATTTATGGGTTTTCAATATACTAAAGATACATACAACATATGAAACATGTACATTTATGAGCATATGAGCTTAACATATAAAGATTGCAAATTCAAAGAAATAATCATCCTTTAAATTTATGGCTATAATTTTTAATTGTAACGCTTAAAAAAATAATATACCTAATAACCGTGAAAAAGTATTCTCAAAAATATTATCATCATATTATTAATTCAGATACAAGAATATGGTTAATAAAGAACTGTCGCTATAATTTTCTCTAGATGTTTAAATTTATACTAATTATGTACCTATAATATGTGATTAAATTCAATATTGAAGACCTTGTTCTCCATTATATAAACTTATAGAATTATAATACTTGCAAGTAAAATAAAAAGCTAAAGTTAATGTATGAAAATATTGTATCTCACGTACAAATCTACTATCGTAAAAGAGAAAAGCAAACAAAAAGTTAAAGTAACTCTTAGTAAGTTAGGTGGATGATTGAAAAGACAACACTTCGCTCTATCCTTAAGTAAATTTTAACTACTCTTTACGATTATCGGTAAAAGTTTTGAAATTCGTACATAATTTTAATAAACTCTATAAGATACTTTGTGTCAATTTTATAGTTGAATACGGCGGAAGTGAATAAAACTTGTAGTTTAAACAAGAAATTAGTTTTATCAATTAATATTATCAGAATATTATAGCCAAACAGAGCCACATTTCATATTTCAATGAAAATTATATCCTGACATCTGTATTCCGTATATATCTAAATACCGCTCAGTTAGTTAGTCTCTATTTATGTTTTATTTTTATTAATTTTGGAATGCTGGTTCACAAATGTAATGATGGTATTGATATTTAAATGTTTCGCATTATTTTACTTATTAATGGTAAACCTATAAAATAAATTCGAAGAAATACGTTACCGTTTGTTACTAGATGCTTTTAATTTTCGTTCTGGCTGGTTATTTCTTATCTTATTTAATTTGCTTATTTTATAATTCAAACAATTCATAAAGCTACCATATAAATATGAGTATTATATATGTATATATTTATATATAACAATAACTCAAAAAAGCTCCATCTACGATCTCTATTTTTATTATTCTTTACGGCCATTGCATTATAAAATGTAATTTATGAAACAGTAAAACCGGCACGTATATCGCAATGTTGCGAATCATAAAACCGTTGTGAGCGGCTAGTAATATGGGTGTATAAATATTTTACAGTAAAATCATAAAATTGAAAATGAAATAATAATACTCATAGTCGTCTGACGTCTATAGACGGGGAGAAACATGTCCAAAAAATGAGAATGCGAGAAGTTGAGCGAATTCAGCTCAACTTTTTATAGTAATGTAAAATTCTTTTATAAAACTAATAATTGAATATAATTACAAAAATTTAACAATATGAAAATTTTATTAGTGTTTTCCGCAGTATAGACACTGCTGTAAGGGCCACGGAGCTGCCTAGTAGCAATACTGAACGGACCAGGCGCAACAGCATATCTTAATATTTTCCTATCATTACCAATAAAAATGTATTTAAAAGTTAAAAATTGTACTCCCAAAAAATATGAAAATTATAATAATTACAATAAAATGTTGGAATTCTGAATAATTTACCTCGAAGCGATAAATATTGAATCATGGGTTGACTCACTAAATGTAGTTTATAGACGACATCCCTACAAACAGGTTGTCATACGGATGTCGTCTATAGACGACGCTCTTAAAGAAAAGGTTAATCCACTTAAAATATTTTTATTATCATGTTAATAGAAGCCACGTTTTGACTGCTTCCACATTTAAAATAAAATTATTATTTGGTTTTAGTACAATATTTACAAAAGTCAATGTAACATTCAGTGTAAGTTTCAGCAAGGTGCAAAAATTAACAGTGATTTTATTTTTAAATTGGTTGTGATATCCGAAATTTTATTAAATCACGTCCATAAAGGTAGTCAAATGATCATACTTTAATCGTAATATAGGATGAAATCTATAGCATCCACGTAAAGTACTACGCTTCTCTTTTACACAATGTGCTTGCCTAAGCCGGGAAAATATAAGATATATAAGAATACAAAAATACCAAAAAAATCAGCTATAATCTTGATAGGTACAATAATTATAAAAACGTAAGGTTATATCAAGTTAAATATAAAATAATTGACTTTAAAATTTGAATGCTATAACACTCATGACATTTTGCATCGCAATAAAAATGTATGCTATAGCATTCACGTTCGCTAACATGTTAATATTTGTATCTCGACTTTAGACCCTAAGTACTATCTGCAGCCCTGATAACATCAGCAGCCGCTATCGTTCGTCTCTAAACAGACTGTTGAAGAAAAGTAATGTGTGCTAGTATAACTCCATCATCATTTTTCTCTGCGGAATAATACACTCTTTCCTGTCATTATTTCCTTTTGCGATGTGCTACGTATAGAACGCGGCGGCGCTTATAACGAGCTTCCGAGACTGTTATGGAGAAAAACGCTTGTTTTTCCTTCCCGCGATCTAGGTACGTCTTGGGTGTTATATTTTACTACGAGTGGACCGCCAGCGGTAATGATCGCCGGGAAAATCGCTCACAAATGGTGCGATAGTAGTACTCTGACGGGGTTATGAGTTATAGGAAAGAAATTCGATGGTGTATGATTTTGGGATTATATATTAATCCAACGGGAAAAATGCATTTGTTTCACATATTTAATTATGCTTCTTGCAAATGAAATTAGATCAGCTCCAGAATAATAAATAAATTAAGAAAACCGACTAGAAAAGCACATTTAAGGGGGTATCCTAGTGTAGAACGATGAATTTTAGGTCATTTTTGAAGTGTCGTAAAAGAAAGCAATGAATGTTTTTACTATCATTTTTTTTATCACTTGATTATTAACATTATTAAAATACAAAACAAAAATTAAAAAATAAAAAAGTTGAAAATTGTAAAAACTGGCAGCTTATAAAGTGGGTGGTCTCAAAAAATTAGCACCTCAGTCTTGACATGATTTCAGCCCTCCTAGCCATCGGCAATGCAAAAAATAAAAAGATTATTAATCTACAATGATGTCGCAATCGCCCGAACTATCAATGAGTGAAATTTTTTCTTTTACAAATTGGCGACTGTTTGAACAAAAGTGTTTTTTTTACTGTTTTTTTGAGTTGTTCAAATTTTTTAAAAATAGTAAAACTTGGAATTTGGGGATAATCCTAGTTCGGGCTATAGATAAGTCTATAAACAAGACACTCAAATATTTCAAATGAATCGGTCGATTAAAACTCGAGAAATCGTGTCAACAGTACTGAAAAAGTCTCTTCTGAGAAAAACGCATTTAAAGTTTTGCGTGAAGCCAAACCAGTATGGAGACCGAGACAGTAAAATGCCTATATCTCCAAAAATAATTCAAATTTTCAAAAACACTCTCGTACCTATATTCTTAGATTGTTATACTTTGAAAATATGAAATAAAAAAAAAACGATTTTTTTGAATTTCTACACTGGAATACCCCCTTAATACATTTTTCTATGTAATATCAAGAATTCATTGTTTGATACAACTTAATATTTCATTTTTAATTAATTTATTTAGAACATACATATTGAAGTATGTATAACAATTGATTTTAGATCATAACAATTTGTATAAAATATTTAGGACTACAAAAAAAAATTTCAAGATTTTAAAGATTTAAGGAGGTGTGAGACTGCTTAAAATATAAATTTACAGCATTTTTTGATATTCTCTATTTAAAAAAAATAGTAAAAACCAGAACTTGGGGGTGTGTTCATATTGATGAAAAGTCTATAAAAAAGACTATGAAATACATGTAAATCGGTACTGTATAAGTTGAGAAATCGTGAGTATAGTATGGCAAAAGAGAGTTTTCAGGAAAATGAAGTTTCGCGAATGCATGAAATAGAGAATGGTCAAACAACTATATCTCCAAAAATGATGTAAATTTTGAAAAATCTTCATACACATACACATATTCTTGAAGAGTTAAACTTTGCAAATATAAAAAAATCGATGTCTTGAAACTTCTAGACTAGAATAGCCACGCAGGTGAATAAGTTCATATATTTATTTATGTTTAGTTTATTTCGTTATTCTGGTTTATTTTCACCTAGAAGTACTAAAAATATGTCTATAATCGCTACTAATTATTATAGAAAAACAAAAACGTTTAATCCACTCGCAGAAAATACCTATACGCTTACGTACCCCAATAGAGCAGTTTTTCCATAACAGAATCTCGATAAGCTCAGCGAGCAATAGGAACAAAAAATTCAAAACAAATAGTCAAAAACCAAAAACAAAAATAAAGGAGAGAGAGAAACATCTGTGTTTACGGTTAGTATCAGCATTGTGTATCGGATTTAGTATTTCGTACCGTTTCGCCTACCTTCTTCTCCCACTGCAGCACGTAGGGCACTGGATGGTCGCCCGGGAACTCGACGTGGCAATTGAACACGACGCTTTCGCCGAGGATCGCCGTGATGTGGACCGCATCTTGGAAACCGTGAGCTGGAAAAAAATATGATAGTAGATTAGTTTATTAATATCATGATGCCAGTAGTTCAGTTTTACAATAAATTTGTTTTTGTTATGACTAAAGGCTTTTTTCTTCGAGGCATATGATCAATGTATCTTACATAAAATAAATGAAATATCCAAAAAGTAAAAAAAAATGTAGTGTTAACGGGTTGTACAAAATGTTGGTTATCATCACCACTTTAATAAACTAGTTGTTGCTAAAACAAGTTCTGGATTAAGAAAATTATTATCCAATCGTAACAAATCTGTAAGATTCTATCACGTGAAATTTTGTTTTCAAACCACAGATTTGTGAGTTGTTCATTGAATCATAATCAAAACTGTATATTTTCTGGTTCACATAAGAATAAAATTAATAAAACAGTAATAAATAAATAAACATTAATTAATTAAACAATACTGACTAAATGAAAAGCAACCTAAATATCAATATAATATACGAAAACTGTATGTAACACATAAAGCAGCGCATGAGAGAACTTTAAATTTCAAATTAAATGCCACTGATACAGCATACGTATATATTCGAAAAGCTCATTCAAATATGAACTGCGAAACTAGTCGTTTGTCTAGATACATATTTGAATATATCTATCGTCGTATACACATCACATACTATGTTTATTTATTCGACCGACATTTTCATAATATGGCGCCGTTCTCGCGCTGTATAAACATCGAGGAAATTGCAAAATCTAACGGGAAACGTTTAAATTGCATTTTATTCATATTTTGAAATGTTATTACATCACATGATATAAATGTCTCGACGTTATAAATATCTAAGAGGCGATGCCGCTTCAGGTGAGCTAGAGGTATAAGGTAGTAATAGCATTTTGCATTATGAATTTAGATGTAATTACATTTTACCTAGGAAAATATATAGCAAAGAGTAAAAAGAGCGCGATGATATTTTTAATGAAGGAGAAAAATGTCGATGGAAAATTTCAAGCACGACTACGGCGTTAGATTACAGTAATTTTCGTGTTATGAAAATTGCACTGTAAGGAAAATATGTATTATAAATTATTGTCGCGTTTCTTATTTTCATATAAGGTGATATATATATATATATATATATATATATATATACTATGATTACTTAGGAAGAAAAAAGCATCATATGGTATTACAACTTCAACAAAATGGGAAGCCATTTTTATTAACAATATGGTGGAGACGCCAATACTTTAAAAGTAAAGTCAATTATTGGTAAAAAGTTAATAATACATATAAATATTAATTATACGAATAAAGATTGTAAAATGTTCAAATACTACAATATACTATTTTCTTCGATTTCAACAAACTTACACCTGACTACATTAAATAGCAACATCTCCCCCAATTTTCCGAGACAATTACTCTTTGCAAAGTACGTTATTTATATTGGTGAATTAGCGGAACTCAATTTATTCGAAAAAGACACAAAACATGCCTCTCACGTATTCAGAACTGGCTAATGTTTTAGGTGGCGATAGAAACAATGTGTATAATTTGAAGCACTTAGCGTACTCGATTTAATCAGCACAACTTTGTATATAAATCAACCAGTTACAGTAATTTATAGCTAACAGTGTGAAAGCTTTCAGTGTCTACGTGAACTTCAGTTTCAGTGGAAATGCACGCTCTCTCATTGGCTCCGTTTATCAATGCTTTATCTAATTTTCCAATGCAACAATTGCATGTTGCGCGCTAGAGCTTTCGAAAGCTCGTCTTGAAAAGCTGAGATGGAGGCGCAAAGTCTGTGATAGAAACAACACAGTTCAAACTCGTTAAAAGTTACAGACGCAACTCAAATAATTATACATAAATAATTACACTAAACAAATATTTCACAAAGAAATTATTATTGAATGTTACTGGAATTCAATGTATATGTATATATGTCGAAATTGATCAAAATGATTTGATCAATTGAACGTGTTGCATTTCATATAGAAACAATGATTAAAGTAATCATTTTTCAAAAGTTCATATTACATGTAGTAATTACTAGTAATTAAAATGTAATGAAAAAATACAAACCGGCGATATATTGATAAAACACAAAGCTAAAAATGTGCAGGTAATAATTGCAGTCATTTAATTATATTTAAATTGAATTTTTAATAAAACTAATGAAATATTTTAATAAAATAAAAAAATATATGAAGTAGTTATTTTTTACTAAACTTTTATTGATAGGCTAATAATTTATATCTAATCAACTAATATTCTCATATTATGCTTATAAACTTCGTAATTTCAACGAACTTTTTTGACTTTATTTTAAACTCGATACCACTTAAGTTTTGGTTTTCACAATGTTATATTTGTACTCAAATTCAATATAGTCCTATATAAAATGTAAAAAATATTCCAAATTTGCAAAAAGTTCTCTGCGCTGTACTATTAAAACTGTATTTATTTTTGTAATATTTAACTTATTAGTATGTAGCAAGAATATATAAATTTTAGTGTTTGATCTTTTGTAGTACAATTGAAATATGGAATCTACAAGAAGTTTCAAGGTGGTGTGCAAATATTATTCACAAAAGAAATAATGTTTACTAATAATAAAATTATTTATCATTATTTTATTTTACAAACGATTTCACTGGCTAAATATATCATATTATTCTAAGGCTTATGTAGATAACAGATTTTTTTGTTTTTACTCTTTGAATATAATTAAAATTCAATATATCCAGTCAATTATTCATATTTGAAAGAGGGTGCGAGTAGTCAATACAAATTAGGACTTAAAAATATATTTTATTATATCTTAGGTCGATATACCAGGAAATGTGTCGAAACTAGGTACATAAATTGATTGCACAAGGAGTATCCTTAATTTCTAAGATATGCCGATATAATAATTGGAAGGTCTGAAGGCATGAAGATTTTCACTTGAAAAGACTAAATCTCTATTTGCGATTTCAATAACTTGATAATTTAAAGCTATGATAAGTTAAAATAACTCTTTTTATCAGTTTTTTATAAAAATTGTATTTGTGTGGGATGAGATGATTATTATGTTGCAGCCTTGCAGCAATATGAAATAAAATATATTAAAAGGGTAAAAGCATAAACTAAAATATTGATGTAATTCTAGCAAATATGCTATCAGATCCGCGGGCCGTTTTATTAACGTTCTCGTATATTTACTATTCGATGCGCGCAAATTCATCAGTTGGGACATTCATACATTGACTATTTGATAAATATTCGCATGGGCAACGGGATAATAGCCACTACATGATTGATACAACCGACGCATGGCGGATTCCTATTTAGAGATCAATTTCATGGATAAAATACGTGCCCGTTTTACTTGTTCGCATATGGTTCATGATTTCGATCCGAGCGTAAACAAAAAATGTTAAAAAATATGATTCCGCATGAATAATGAACGTCGAAATTCATCAGTTAGCGAATACGCTGAGTGAGATATATTCTGTATTTACACTTTTGTTTAATATTTCATCAATGCTTTGTGTGCTCGTGTTACTATTATACATCGCTTCAAATGAGTGTTATATGTGCTAAATGAATTTGAACAATTCAACCGCCAATTTTAATAATTATAGCTCTAGGTTGTACTTAAAACTCATATTTAGGTTGTATTTAAAAGCTTATTTTCGTGAGACAACTTAAAAAAAAAAATCTTGCAGTTAAGGTCAATACTGTCACCCCGTTTCGGCTTGACGTCAAGATCGTCAGGCGGAACACCCTCCATATATACATATAAATTAGAGTGGTCCTTAATATGGACATTTTCAAATTTCCTTGCCTCCAAGAGCTCAACTGGTTCTAAATTGATAAAAAACATTTCTCTGAAAGTTTTAGCTCTTAATATTAACTTTTAGATAGAGCGCAATTCAATCAAACTTCGTATGGAAATAGCATGGAAAAAAAGTTGAAAATTAAAAAAAAAATTTTTAGGTATAACTTAGTGACAATTGTGTTAAAAGTGAAAACACGTGTCATTTTTTATTGAAAATTCGACGCTGTGCAAAATTTTTGAAATTTTTTTTATGCTATTTCCATACAAAACTTTGATTGAATTGCGCTCTATCTAAAAGACAATATTAAGAGCTAAAACTTTATCAATTTGAAACCATTTGAGCCCTTGGGAGCAAAGAAATTCGAAAATGTCCATATTAAGGACCACCCTAATATATATATATATATATATATATATATATATATATATTACATATATATGTACTTATATATAAGGGAATGTGTGTGTTTAGAAATATACATTTCCCAGCAATCGTTATTCCGGTTGTATATCTCCTAAAATATTTTCATATGAAAAATTCATGCCGCGCATCGTTCAATATTTCTTAGTCACGGTTATTTAGGCAAAGCTTTAATATATCTGAAAGTTTTGAAGTGAATTGAACGTTTTCACATTCGAACACCTACAGATCGGTCTACCTACACATTTCTATATATTCCATATATATAATAACCTTTAAAAGTTTTGGTTTATAGATTCAGATGCAGAATGTGCAATATTTTCCGTTTTCACACTTGGCGTGGTGTTCGATCAAGTGGAAAACATATCAGAAGCAATGCACACCCTCCATCTCTGCCATAATGCAGCAATAAAATAAAACGTGGCGAATACGTGATATTTGTCGAGAACTTTATATTTTTCTGCGGCAACAATGATTTTGATATGTGTATTGCTTTCACTTGACTTTAATACTTCAAACACAAAATTAATATATATGAAATTATTGTGAAATATTCAACAAATAACTATGGTTTATGTTATTATCTACGGCATTATCTCTATGACATGTAATTATGTTACATGTATAGGTAATATGTTAAAATGGTTTTCATCAAAACTTCTTGTAATAATATAAATATTTTGGAAAGGGTGATATTTGGAAAGCTTATTGATATAATAAAATTATAATAGATCATATTTTAAAATAATTAATAATAATATTTAAATAATTAATTAATTT